CTGCCCAGATGACCCCGGGACTTCATGCTGGGCGCCGTCAAGCCGGGGCCTTGCACCACGACCCTTTACCACCTGATTCTATCATATGATACGTGGGCGCTTCCCATTCCGCTTCTCTCGCCGCCAAAATCTGTGTCACCGTGACGCGCCCCACCACCCCTCCCGTTACATCCACTGCTAGCCGCTACTCCAATCCAACTTCTCCGCTCGCTCTTTATATGGCTGCAATAGTACATGCGACTCAAGAACTTGCCTCCCTTTCGCCTGCCCCCCGGTACCGTATATCCACTGATTACATGCATAGAAGCGATTCGGGCAATTCGCGTGTGCCGCTTTCCCGAGAATTTGCGCGACAACCTCTCCCCCGCCCTTTCACAACTTTTCCCTGACTCGGTCGTGGTGCTGTGGGAGCCAGGCCACACAGGGATTGCCGGTAATGAGTTGGCTCATCAACTTGACTGCGAGACTATCCAGGCGCCGGTAACCCTATGGCCTTTCCCACCCATGGCGGACGAGTCACATTTTTACAAGACCCTGAAACAACACTACGCACAACTCCGACACTCAATTCCGACACTGCCAACACCCCACCCCCAGCTTACTACCACCTCACAAACACACACACTGAGAGTCATCCAGCTTAACACACTCATCACCACCGCCCGACTTTTTCTCCATCGTTTCAGATCAGATCCCTCCTGCCCCTGCCCCAAGAGCGAACGTTGAGCATTTCCTCTCCCATTGCCCCGCAGCCATCCGATCTCCCCACTACCCCAACACCCCTCTTCCACACTGGCGGGTGTGGCTGACCTCGGCGGCTCACGTCGATCAGCTGGCTCTTGTCCGCTTAGCGGAGGAGCACCTCTAGGGTCTTTATTTGATCCAAAATAAAGTGATTTCTTTCTTTCTCTCTGCTGCACCGCTTTCAAAAGACCTTACTGCCGTCGATGAGACACGAAACTAAGGTCAATGACGGAGCAATGTCTAAGCAACACGCGTAGTGCAAGCTCTGAGTTTTGTATTACGTGGCACACCTAGAAAACAACTTTAAAAAATTAGCATTCCTCCCATAAAGAAGCATGGGAAACAGGGCCTGCACCCGCATATTAAGGAGCCATCTGGTGGCGCCGCTTGCAACCAATGCGAGCAGACGACTTTATCTGGCAGCCGCGACGCGCACGGTGTCCACACCTATGACACTGATTTAGTTTTTGATTTGCATGCGCTGTTGTGAAAATGAGACGATAGATAAAACTAATATAAAAGGGAGTAAAATATTTCAAATTTTACTCGCCACTGGCGCTGGTGAAGACTTGTGAGCTTTGGGGGCACATTGTAAAACGCCAAACCAGGGAGTACGAGACATGAGATGGGCGTCATTTGAGAGCAGGGAAGCGGTGAGCAAGGTAGAATTTGAGGATCGGTTGAGGCAAATGGATGGGGAGCAATGGGCACGAAAGGTTTTCAGCTATTTATACATGAGACGTATAGACACAAAGTGGAGACAGCGCACTAGGAAATTAAGAGGAAAGTTTTTGGACTATAGTGAAGTTACGGAAGAGCAGGTCTCAGTTAAGAAGAAAGTTAAGGCCACAGAAAGAGATCGGCGGCTAGAGGAAATGCAGACAAAGACGGCTCTGGAAAGCTATAAATTAAACAAAACATTTTTTGCCACAGAAAGCATTTATGACAATTCTAAATGAAGCTCATTGTTGTTTGAGGCGAGGACGGGTCTTCTGCGAACCAGAACATACAGAGCGAAGTACCAGGAAATGGATACAGTGTGCACTGCTTGTGGAGAGGAGGACGAGAAGGCTGAGCACTTGATACTCTACTGTAAAGGGCTTCACTCTATGCCTACCGAAGACAACATAGATTTAATAAAATCACTGGGTTTTAGAGACAGCGAAGGAAGAGTGAATTTCAAGACAGTAGAGATTACCAAGCAAAGATTAAGTGAATGGTGGCAGAAAGCGAGAGAAAACTAGGTATTTTATTATTAACAGATGGCAAGGGGGTTTTATAGCCTCACTTTATTTTCAGTGCGGAGTGAATATAGTTTTCACATTTAAATATTCTAAGCTTAAATGGTAAAACAAAATGGCTAGGTGGCGTAAGCTACCGCCCGATCCAAAGGGCTCAGCCGGATTCATCCATCCATCCATCTGAGCTACAGGAATGTTGGAAAAGTTCTCCTAATGGTCTGTCCTGGCGGTCGCTTTGCAGGTGGGAGGAAAGCGGCATACGGTCGGCACCGCTCGTCTTCTATGTGGTCCTGGTTGCCAGCATAGTGCTCTGTGCAGTGGCCTTCGGACTGGCGTCGAACTCAAGTAAGGCGCCTCTTAAAGGGCCCTCTAATGACATTTGAACTTCTGACCTATTTATGTTATAACCTGATTAGTGCTTCGGACTACTCGGAAAACAAGTAGTAGCCACGAAATATTAGCGCTTCATATTTTAATTCGATCGGGCTAAAACAGGTCAACCTCCGGTGGCTACACAGTGTCACGGCTGAAAATGCGCGGCCAGTGACATCACCGTTAAGCAATTTGGGGTTTGCAATCGCCAGGAGCCGTCAAAATTGGACTTTTTATACAGGTTAAATAACTTACATGGCTGCGTAAACTATCGTTTTTTTTTAACGCGTTTTTGTTGAGCGAGACATATTAAAAAAAATGTTAAAAATGTGGAGAAGCAAAAGGAAAAAAACAAGACACGCCCACCTCCCATGGAGCGCCGGAACCAGCCGAACCAGCCGGCGCGCATGGGCAGAGCGCTGCTGCTAGCGGATTAAGCTGTTTGAGCGCTGCCCATCGCGCGGGCGACCCATCGTGAATCGAAATGTCCGGCACATCGGAGCGTGTGCGTGCCGCCTATTTCTCCGATTTGAATCTGCAGTATCTCGTGTGCTGTTCTCGCCGTTCAGTATGGTTCCTCCGCGTTTCTGTGTTGCTGCGCACACTTCCGTGCGCTCGCTGGGCGGGTCTGTACGTGGACGGCTCTGTGCGCTACCCCGAAAAGCTTCGTAGGCCTAACAAGCCGGACGCGATTCACGGGGTGCCAGCCAAAGCCCGAAGCTCGATGACGAACCAGAGGTATAGAGTTGATTAGTTTTCAGGACGACCTCGTGTATGAGCTATGTATGATCACATATGCTAGTCCTATCTTGGCGGCAGTCGTTCCCGCTCAGAAAAAATGCCAAATGTAGAAGCGGTGTACAATAAAAAAATTGTTGTATTCGGCGTGCGATACAATTTTGAACGCGTAAACTGCGTAATTAAGAGATCATCCCCCAGGGGCGGATCCAGAGGTGCCCTCGAGGGGGGGGGGGGACAGAGAGGGAACATTCGCTGTACACCTCATTGTGTGTTGGATCTTTGTTTAAACGCGCGTATAAATAGTAGAAAGAGGTTGTTTCTTCCTCAGCGACACGAAGTGTCGCAATTAAAGACACAATTGAAGTATCTCCCGCTTCGAAGTGGGGGATAACGAAATCTTGATATAACTATGTGCCCACTTCGGAAAAAGTGCCCACTTCGGGTCACGTGATCCCCCTAGGTCACGTGGGGGATAACGTGACCTCGGGGGGGGGGGGGGGAGGTCACGTGACCAGAGAAATTGTTCCGCTAGATGTAGCGGGAAAAGTTTTCCGTTAGATATAGCGGGAAAATTTTTCTGCTAGATTTAGCGGGGAAATTTTTCCGCTAGATTTAGCGGGGAAAATTCTCTGCTAAATTTAGCGGGGAAATTTACCCATAACGCACCGCGCAGTTACGCCGACAACACGGCGACGCCGACGCCGACGCCGACACCGACGCCGACGCCGACGCCGACGCCGCTCAAGCCGGAAACGGGCGCCTAAGAGCTGCGCTCTAAAAGCTCTACACCAGGATGCGTGATACAATGAGACCTACGAAATAAGTTCGAATATTTTATCCCGAGTACACTCTTAGCCTGACTCGGTTGTTTTAACATATAAGCAGAAAAACAAGCATTAAGCAAGTTAAGGGCAATATAAAAAGGCTTACCATTTTCGCTGCGCTGCATGTTATGTATCCCATAATGTCGAAACGGGCAAGCAAGCCTTGGTCGGCTCAGGCACCATACAGAAACAAAATCTAATCACAAATCACGGGAATGAAATTTAATTGCTCGTTGCCATGTAGTGTGGCCATAGGGTGTAAGCTTGACCACCTTCGTTTAAGCCAAATAGTTTTTTCTATGACCCTACGCGGGGACCTGACGAGACCGGAGTGACAACCAGTAACAGGTAGATCGCCTGGACAGGGTACCGGCAGGAAAGTAATGGCCTCTGAGACCAATCACCGCCCGCGGAAAGGTTTCATATTTGTGTCGTGCTCAAATCTGCTTATTTTCGGCGTACTTTCTTCGGTTCGGCGATGGCAACGTTTAATCCCCCCAGGTCGAGCGAAGCCCTCCGAGAACGTCGGTGAAGGTCGCTGCTCTAAAGTCCATTGTCAAATAGAAACAGGCTAGTGATTTTTTTTTCCTATTTTTTAACCCCGCGTTGTCATGAGGATGCAGGTGCGCTTTGACGCTTAGTGCCCCTGCTTATTATCTTTAATTGGCAAGTCGCCGGAAACGACACTAATACCAAATGTGATGTATTGGCCACGCATCACAGAGGCTCAACTGTAAAGTGTTCAAATTTCAAATCTTGAAAGTTGGAATTTACTGTGTTCGGATACAAACGTTTAGAATCCATCAAAGCTTCGCGCGGGGGGGGGGGGGGGGGGGGAGGGGGGAGGGGAACCCCCCCCCCCCCCCCCCCCCCCCCCACCCTCTCTGGATCCGCCACTGTCAACCGCTCTCTTTCACGTTATAGACGCTTTCAGCGAGTCAGTTACTCGAGCTGCCACCAGTCGGCGCGACCTCCGCGCGCTCTCGGGCCGCCATAGCCGACCTTCATTTTTCGTCGTTCCTGTGCCGCATTCGCCAGTGATTCGACAGCTCGCAACTTCTGATTCCTCGCTTGCGTGATGGACGACCGCAATGGGAGAAGGAAAGCGCGTCCCGCGGGCAAGACGTGCTCAGTTGTAGGATGTAAAAACTGTAGCGGCGATATTCACGCCTGGAATCGCTCTGTGTGCTCTGAACACGCCCCGCTCACGCATATGGACTGCCCGTGCTTGGTGCCTCTGTCAATGCACCGGTTTCCAAATGGAACGAAAAATGAAGAACGCCGTCGACAGTGGCTGGCGAACCTCGAAAGGAAGAACTTCAACCCCGGTAAAAATGCGATGGTAAGTACCGCTACTTTGTGGCATGGCGGTGTCGGAAAAATTGTAAACAGTATGCGCGATGTCTGGAGGACGTCGTTGTTGTGCCGCTCGATTTTTACGAGCGCAAGGAAGCTATTGTAGGCCATAAACCGTTGTAAATCAAGTAGGGAGCACATACGTTCATTAGTAGCAACTTTCACGGTACGTTAAACCCAGCGAGTCAAGTGCGACAACCCAGAGATCGCGAAATCGTAACGCATATTGCGGCGTGTATGAGACGCGTTGACAGTTTGCTCCTCTTTTGAATAGCATAGATTAGCGTCGTACGCGAGCAAGCCCCCATATGAAGTTGCTTGACTAACATTTTCCGTCTCTACTACCCCGCTCAACAACAAGGTCCGAGGTGGTGTTTTACGTATTTCCCGTAGGTTACAGCTTTTACTACTCAAACCTTGTCTTTAGAGCCTGTGTTTCATTTGGTATTCCGAACAAGTGTATGTGTAGAAGTGATCGTGGCAGGTGGAACTTGTATTTGCTATTTTTTGTGATGGAAAAAAGAGGTTACCATTATACAGGTCATTTTCAGCTATTGAAGAGGGTATGACCCTGCAAGGGCCCACTCCTGGGTGCAACTTCATGCAAATTGTTTATTGCTCTTACAGATTTGCTCAATCCACTTTCCTGACGGGAGGCCGACCTCCCTGAACCCTTATCCGACCCAGCATCTGGGAAAGGAAAATAAGGTAAGCGTAACAGTCCCTGCAAACACTTTAGTGTTGTTGTTGCAGAATTAAAAATGTTTTTTTAAACTGTGTTTGTTCTTTCAAAACAGAGGGTGCTGCACAAGGGCAGGAGGAAAGTTTGCCTCCCAACACCAACTGTAGAGTCTGCTGCAAGAGCAACTTCGGATCCTTCAGGAGCACAAGATGCCAGGGAGTCCCCTGTGGGACTACTCCCGGTTGTCCTCGATGTTGAGGACACCATTGATAGTCCTAACCCTGCGAGTTCACATAGGACCTACAGCATGCTTAACCGCACTGAGGCTCTTTGTTTGAACTGTGGCTGCGACTGTAAAAAGAAAAAAACGAAAGAGCAGGATGTGCAGTGTGATGCGACTGCCCCTGATCATGCCCCTGACCATGCATACTGCTCAAAAGTTGAAGTTGTACCCCCTAAGGTCATGCAGAAGGCCACGCAAACCAGGTTCACAGTACACGAGAGCATCCCCGACAACCAGTTTAGGTTTTTTACGGGGCTAACGAAACCAGTGTTTCAGGTTTATGTCTTGCTGGCAGTATCGTTTGCCAAAGCGTCGTTTGTGATGCCTGTAGAAGATCAGATCCTTTTAACGTTAATGCGTCTTCGTATGGGACTGCTTCTCATAGACCTAGCGTTTCGTTTTCAGGTGTCCACTGCGCTCGTGAGCCAAATATTTTCATTCTGGGTCTCCCATCTGGCACAGGTTTCGAAAAAGTATCTCATGTTTTGGTTGCCAACTGAAACGATTCGGCTGTCATTGCCTGATGTTTTCAAAGACATGCCTCGGACTACATGTATAGTCGACTGCTTCGAGATCTTTTCTGATAGGCCGCAAAACCTATTGAGAAGGGGGAAAATGTTCAGTTACTACAAGAGCCACAATACCGTCAAGGTGCTTCATGCAGTGGCACCTAACGGCTTCATCATGTTCATTTCCAAAGCCTACGGCGGGCGTGCAAGTGATAGGTACATTACGGTGAATTCTGGATTCCTCGATCACCTCGAGTACGGAGATGAAGTGCTCGCCGACAGGGGCTTCACCATTGCTGATGTTTTGCCAGTTGGAGTGGAACTCGCGCTACCTTCCTTCACAAAGGGAAAGCAGCTAGCAGCGCGCGATGTTGTGGTGTCGCGCAGACTTGCCAAACTGCGGATTCATGTCGAGCGGTCGATCCGTCGTATGAAGTGTTTTCGTATACTGAAGCATGTACCCTCGTCGTACTTAGCAAAAAAGAACAAAATTGACGACATTTTGGCTGCTGTTGCTGGGCTCTGCAACCTCCAGCCTGCTCTCATCAAAGGGCCACAGCACGAAGAAAGTGAAGTTTAAAGGTACACTAAAGAGGGTTTCTGGGATTGTCTGTTCTTGGTGATAACTCAATCTACGGGCTTTAAGCTTCCTGAAAATCTTAAAATTACACTCCTGCAACGCTTATTTTCCTACTAAAATTGTGATTTAAGATTGAGACACACCCCTTTCGGAGCGGAAATTTCCACTCGAGAAGAGCGGCGCATAATCAAGCCGAGCTGACGGCAGTGCGACGTGAGGCGCTCGCCGGCCAGTCGCCCTTCTGAGAGCAAACGCCGCCGTGCCACAGCGGCATCGTCTGCTGACGAGTAAACCTTTCATTAAATAAATATGTTTATCTCTTTCTCGGAAAGGCAGCTCGCAATTGGCTGACGAACGCCTGGCGTCACACTGCCGCCGCCTCGGCTTGATTATGTGCAGCCCTTCTTGAGCGTGAAAATACACACAGAAAGTGGTGTGTCCCAATTTTAAATTACAATTTTTGTAGGGAAATAAGCGTCGCACGAACATAATTTTTGGATTTCTAGGATGCCTAAAGCCTGTAGATTGAGTTATCATCAAGAACAGACAATCCCAGAAACCTCTTTAGTGCACATTTAAAATGTGTTGAAACACAACTTCGCTTAACTTCAGAAATGTCAGAGTAATGCCCATATCTATGCGACGCGAAAGCCTGTTGAAATTGTGTACAAGCTTTGCTAGAAACTTTTTTTTTTATTTCACTTGACCAACTAAATGCTTGTCATGAAAACTCCAGTATTAAAGTTTTGTGATGTGTATATTTCATGAATAATAAATAAATAAAAAAAAAGATCTTGAATGCACATGCAAGTGTCATAATTTGCCACATAAAAGGACGCGAATATTAACAGACCACAAGGAGGAACATTTTTTTTTTAAATGTGGACACATTCACACATCTGGCAACGAAAAGAAAAGAAAAAAAAACCACAAGTACGAATGCAGACAGAGATTTATAAAACTATGTTTCTAGAAGTAAATATAAACAGGCAAGATTCCAGCTCAACTTCGACATCGGTACGTTTAAGCAGCAAACGATTGATTCATATTTTGCAAACTGCTACGAAGTGAAGCGAAGAGGTACTCCGAGTAAAGCATGTGCACAGCACGCACACAGGTTTGAAAGTACTCCGAATCGAAGTCGACTGTCACTTGCCTCCATTCTGTCGACGACTTATACACAAAAAAGTCGCAAGATGGTATGCCCAAAATCCCCATGGCAACCTGAATCTGGGTCATGTACATAGGTTTCGGTCGACTCCCAGAGAAGGAGTTCTTTAGAGACTCGGGACACTTAATCTCAAGAAGGGTCAACTTTTCTGTGCAACAGTCACAATCAAAGCTGACAATGCCATCTGGGGAGCAGCCCATGATTGGAAAGTCTTTCCATATGACGAATCCCCTATGTTCAAGTACTGGCTGGTGTCCATCGGCCATCAAGAGAGTCATGTAAAATGCACCGGCCTCCGGTTCCCTGTCCTTCCCTTGTGTCATAGCTGGAGTCTGAAAGGTGCTCATGCATGACACAGCCTTGAGAAGGCCTGCCATATCATGTGGCCTTGGCTCTCCCTGCATCTTGGTAGCCCTTGTCTTAAACGAATGACACACTGTACTGGTCACCCTGGCCCTCCTGTGCAAATACCACTCCTGCGAGCAAGATTGCATACGGGTGCTTCTCTCTACACTGTCAATTACATCATCAGTAAATGCTTCCTTAAGCTGACACACAAAGCTGTCAAAGTCATCCTCGTTTGTTGTTCTCAGGAGCTCTGCCATGACTGGAGCAGAAGCGGGCGTTGCGGCACTGGTATCTGGAAAAGAGCCGTAATAGGATTAATCATTAGCACACAGTACTATCATGGACTATTTATATGAGTGACAATACACCAGCTGCGGTCGCTATGTGCTAGCGGTTGCCAAGAAGTAGAGAGCGCAACACAGTTAGCATGAACGATCCATCACCAGTTTTTGCTGCTTTACTTTAACCAGTACAATGCAATCACCAAAACTAGTTATGTGGTGGAAATGAGAGCATGGAGGTTACTGCTGAGAAGTTGCTCATGCATTGCAGCTCATAAAGCCGACGGTAGTAGAAGAGGTTGTAGAACAAGGATATCAAACTTCAAGCAGCAAAAAGAGGGAGAAAGCAAAACTATGTACCGGCGACTCAGACAAACTTCCCAGGCGAGGCTCGACTAAACACGTCTTCGCCCCACAAAATTTCTTTTGGAGTAGATTCTTCTGTATAAGCAGATAAACCTCGATTTAGGAATTAGACTGCCAGTTTTGTCCTCTTGTCATTGCCCAGTCATTTTCAAAGGAGCGGGCGGCTGCATTTTTGCAGGGAACGTTAGTTTCGTGTAAGCTAGTCTTTTGTTAGTCTACTCGGACATGATGGTAGTAGAAATGTCAAATTGGCTGAATTCAAAACAGCAATCTTGAGAGCTAACCCCAGATGTAATCAGGTTTATAATAGTTTTTACCAGTTTATGCGAGTGCCGAGGTGCATATAAAGGTTGACACTTCAGGCAATAGCAAGTGAGTTCCAGGTTCTATGGACTGAGACAAACATGGCACATAAATCCAAGCCAAAGCGCTGAAAAGCCTAGTCGGCTGGCAATGTGTCAGTTATTTTTTGCAGCCGAGCTAAGTGATGGGCGTAAACATCTCACTACTTCGGTGATTTCACCACCGCAAAGTAGCTGCACATATTGAACCACTTTGCGATTGAGGTATGATTTGCGTCGTCCAGCTGTTGGTAATTTTTCCGTCTTGGCACAGAACATTCTGGTAATGGTCGATGTTCAACAGAATCGGACATTAGAACTGCTTGAAGTGCCTGCTGCACCCTAAAGCAGTGCGATGCACAGTGGTCACAGCATAGCAAAGGTGCAAGAATGAACCACAAGTGGTCACCAATACGGCGCTGCAGACAGCAGTGACGTCACTCGCATGAGGTAGGCGCAAACAATGTATTTAGTGTCGCGACAAACTTGCTGTTGGCATGTAAATTTAAGCCACTTTCCTTTATTAAACCAGCGCTGACGAGGGACTGCAGCGGCCTCTGACGTAAGTTAATTTCATATAAAATAAACAAACATTTTTGTGTTTATTTGCATTCCTTAAAATTAGGCGTGGCCCAATCATTGTTACCAAATGACAACCCTGCTGATTATCCATGCGTACTTTCCCAGTGCTTCACCGCTTTGCGTGGCAGTGCAAAACAGTGGAGCTTGCCACAAGAACACTGGTGAAGAGGTGAAGTTTGATGCAAACAGCTCTGTGAGCAGCATAGTACAAGTGCCATAGTATGGAGGCACGCGGCTGATTTGTTGGGAAGTTTAGACAATGGCATGTCCAGCACAATCGACAAGAGTTTTAACTAGGGCGACTGTAAAACAAATGTCTGAATGATTTCTCTTCTCTTCTCCTTTCTTGAAAATGATGGTCGACCTACCCTGAATATTATCCTAATATTCTCGTTCTTTACTTTAACCCTTGTCTTATACTCGTAGTTTGCCTATATTTGTGTAAATATGGTTGTCTATGAAACACGCGTTGATAAAGCCACGGATGCCTCATCTACTTACCATTTGCTGCTTCAGATCGACGTGTTGGTGCATCCGGAGGGTGGACCACGTCATAAAGAAGTGTTCCTTTGAGTGTCTCCATGTTCAGCGGTGCTCCACGGAAGTGTCGTTGCAAATCTGAATGACAGGAAAACTTCGACACATTTGATGGTTTGTTCTTATGCCCGTACACCTTTTCAATAGGCTCTGGGGCAACATTCTGCTTGGTTGATGCGTTCCATGTGCATTGTGTATCGGTGCAGGAGCTTCCGGTCACCCCTCTGCTTGTTGCTTCAACTACCTTGAGGAGCAATGCTCCAACATGTGAGCATGTTTCGCCCAAGCCTGCAGTGCAGGTGCACGACACATCCTGCAGGGCTCCTCCTTCAAAGCAAGCACCTACGTCATAGGACCGTGATGTTGTCTGCGATGATCTTATGCTTGCCTTAAGCCGACACTTTGCGCCATTCCTTGTACACATGATGATATCCACATGACCAGAATCCAAGAGGTTGGTGGCTTCGGCAAAACCCCTGTAGTTTTCAACTGGCTTGCCGTCTGTGTCTATCCTTGTAACCATGTAGTCATAGACGACTGAAAAAAAACAACAAAAAGATATGTAAATATATAAACGTCTTGTGTCACGGGAAAAATAAGGATGTTTTGAAAAGAGAAAAATATTTATTGTGCTTTTGTGCACGTGACATCCCGTATAATAAACTGGTGTAATCTCTTGCTGCAAAGAATGCGACCAAAAATGGCAAGAGATGCAGCCACGAACACATAATCGCTTCGAATACACATTTTCATAACTGAATAACCCCGAGCTGATCATTTAAAAAAGACGACCGGCAGCACTTTCATTTGGTCATGCACGTAAATTGGGGAATACGCATTCACGCAAGACTTTTAGTCCAACAGATAGGTTGCATGGCACTAAAGGCTGAACCGCATGTAAGTGATATAGCAAGCGACGAGACGAGCGACGGAGATTCCTCACTGTCGCTTGTTGTGTCGCTCAGTTCTTGGATTCGCTGTGTCCATGGGCGTACCAACCGGGGGGGCAAGGGGGGCACTTGCCCCCCCAGTTCTCAGAGTGGGGGGGCAAGGCATGCGTTTTGCCCCCCCTGAAACGGCCGCCACTGGGCAGAGCAGACACAGGCCTGCGGCGCCCAAGGAATACCAAGGGCACTGCCCCCCGACCCGCGCGGGCATATTTTTAACGCGCAGGCGATACAAACCCTAGCAACGGTGCTCACGCACGCCGGATTGGCTGGTTCGTAAAGCCTTGCTCCACGAACAAGGCTACACGGTAACCTTACGGAATCCATCCGCGAGACATGGGCCCGACGGGCCGTCCAGACCAGGACGTAGGCCCTTACACAAAATAAAGTTTTGCTTGCTTGCTTGGAGATAGGCGCTGCCGCCGTC